AAGAATTCCTATAGTTTCTGCTGAGAAAATGTTTAATTAAACATTGCTTTTGCTGTGAACAAGACACTTCTTTCGTCACTCACTTCTTTTCATTCTTTCACTTCCTCAAAATGACATGAATGACTGCTGAAACAGCAGCAGCAAATTATTTTGCGAAATAAACAAGTGAATTAAAAATTCAATAAAAAATCTCAGTGCTTTGCTGTAATTCATTTTAGTTTTCTCTCTTGCAAGACAAATTGATTTTATTTTTTTTAATATTTGACAATTATAATAGTAAGACATATTTTAAGAGAAGAATAAATTATGATTTCAGTTTTTGCTTGTTTTTTTAATCTTGAATTATTTTTAGTTGAATATTTTATTTTTAAGAAGGAAGAACCTAGGGTGGAGGACGAAATACGATTCTGAGGCCCAAAAAAGGATGTCAGATGATTTTATCAGAGCGTGAAGAAGGGAGTCTTCGAGTGAAACTTATGAACTACATAAAGGAAAAAAAGACTATTTATTTAATTTATATTCTACTAACTACTAGAAAAAAATGAAAAATTTATAAAAAAGGAAAATATGCGCGCATTGTTTTCATTACTTACGGCAATTAACATTTTTAGGAAAAAATAAAGAAATTAATGAATGAAAATAATTAAAACTGAAATTAGTAATTTAAAAAAAATTAAATTTTGCTTTTTTTTTTAAGTATAAATTAATAATACTTCTTAATCTTGTCTACTGTTTTTTTTTCTACATGAAATTTTAGGCGTTATGTTGGAGAAAGATAATTTTTCTTTTTTTTAGTTAATATTAATTAATTAATAGCATTTTTTGCCTATTTGAAATGAAAAAAGAAACGAAAAATTCATAGTTTAAAGTTTGTTTTTCTTTCTTAATTTATTGATACTTAAATAAATTAATGAAAATTGTTTTAAAAAAATACGGCTAAATTTTTTCGGGAAAAAAATATTAATTTATGAAAAAAAAATTATTTGTCAAAATAAGTAATAAAAATTATTTTAATTAGATGTGTAAATTTGTGTGCGTGTGTATGTGAAAAATGTCTTTAAAAAATAGAAAGAAAATAATAATAATCCTCATCCTTTAACAAATTTAGAAAAGGAATATTTAAAAATAGGTAATTCATTAAAAAAAAAAAAAAATAGAGAAGGAAAATACAAGGAAAGAAATATTTTCCATTTTTGGCTTATTTATGTAAATGAAGCATTGTCATTTTTTTCTTCAATCTTCATACAATTGAAAAGGGGAAGAAATTGTTTCATTAATTTATAAATCATTTTTTATTATTGAATTTTTAAACCAGTGCTTGACAACAAAAAAAAATTAATAAAAGAATTGAAATTAAATTTTAATTAATATTTAGTGAACAATATTAAGCAAAAATGCCTTAAATTTGATATCAGATTTCTAATTTATGAACAATGAAAATAAAAATCCTTTTTTTAAAAAAAAATATTGATTTCCAACGTGATACTGTCTCCTTTTCTCCTCCTCCTCCTCCTTTTCAATCAATTCTTTATAGACTGTTGTACTACTACTGCTACATATGGATAATTTCAGAGATATTATATTTTAAAAATAATGAATTCAAAGATATTTTATGACGATAATACTATCTTCATCGCGAATGATAATAAAAAGACAAGAAAAAAAACAAACAATTCTACTTTATAGAAATTAAACCACCTTCGTCCCTCATCATTCATTAGGTAAACAAAAATACTAAAAACTGGTTTATAAATTGTAGTTTACAATAGATCAAAATCGTATACATCAATATATTAAATACCTTGAGAAGATTAAAAACGATCAGAAAGAGACAAGAAATTCATGAACTTTTAAAACTTTCAAATATAATTAAAACAAAAAAAAATTCATGAATGAAATGAATTATAATTTTGACACAATAAATGTACTTTTAGTTTAAAATACGGACATCACAAGTTTCTGAATGGTAAAAAGTGATCAGATACAAACCTCCTGCCATTGTGTTGGTTCCTTGTATTTAAATGCTCACAAATTTTGTCACTGTTCTTAAATGAAGTCTAAACATCCTGGAGAGAAAAAGAAAAAAAAAATAAACATCGTCTCCTTTAACAAAAACACATGGTAGGCTGAGGCCGGAAGTGAGGCAACCTGCCACAAATAATTCACCTAAATTAGCGGAAGTGACGTCACGGCCCGGTTGTCATTGGAGGTCATGGGATCGTTCGATGAATGGGACAAACTCAGATTTAGATAGATAGATAGATAGATAGATAATCTTATCTCAATTATTTATGATTATGATAAAGATTTATTTGAAATCTTTACAATAAACTGTTATATGTAGAATTTATTTTGGGTTTTTTTTTATATATTAGTTTTATTTTAATTTTTGTTTCAGTTTTTTTATTGAATTTGTTTCTTAGCATCTGTATCTTAATCAATATAACATTTATTGAATTCCAAGGATTAATATAAAGTATAATGTCTAGTTCCAGGAGACCTATTTTGTAAGGGTGTACCTCCCCATTGTACTAAAAATGTAGGACCAGGGTTACTCACCAATGTTTTTTGGCAAGCTAAAGACTAGGTCAAGAAAACTAGACAATTTTCGTCTTTTTCTCTACCTACGTATAGGGTTCCTACATTAAAAATGTCTAGGGTTATAAATTGTTGCTTTTTTTAAATGATGGTCTTTTATTTAGCTCTTTCTGTCTTTGTCTTTTGTTGAATTTGGAAAGTAAAAAACAATATCATTATCAATTATTTCATATATCTGTAGTAATGAAAACAGTCACTTACCTCATCCAACAAAGTGCCCAGAATTGATCAGATTAAAATTTGCATGTCATACCAAGTTGTTTCTTATGGCAGAGAAAACCTACAACCTATCAGCATTTCATTCAATGAAAAAAGAAACTACTTTTAATGTTACACCTTCAGGAGCATGGTCTGAAAAGGCCTCATTGACTTGTACACGTGCACCTGTAAGTACATTTTTCTTCGAACAATAGGAGTAGATAGGTTTGCCTATCATCTGGTTCACACTTCTCCTCAGTCTTCTGAACAGGAGTAAAGGTTTATCTCTTGTTTCCTGTTTAGGATTGGGTTTCCAGTTCCTTCTAAAGTTTTCTCATTCTCTTTTACTCCCAGTAGTTCCTTACACCTTAGTGGAATTATTGCCTTGCTTGGGGTGAATTGATTAAAAAATAAATTTTAAATCCAACAGACATACATTGTCCCCTAGCTTTTACACCATTTTCTCATACTCTACCTTGTTGTATTGATTGATTTTTTTTTTATGGGTTATCAATCTTTTGCAGATTATTCAAAGCCAGAAAATTATTTTATATTTTAAGAATATTTTTAGATAATAACGATTTTTTACTGATACAATTTCTGCTAAATAACTCGTAGCTAGAGGGAGATGAAATGGATTCATAACATTCCCAAGTGCATATGTGAATATAACAAACTTGAGTGGAATTGAAAACCAGCTCTCCAATTTCCAATTCTAAGCCATTAAACATTACACCACCTGCACATCCAAGCTTAAAGCACCTGGTGAACAAGCTGTATATGCATTATGTATATGGCAGAATTATAGAAACTCACAATTCTGTTCAGAAGCATGAGTGACCATAGTTTGACATGCGTATTTAGGGGTGGGGCTGTAGAGATATTTTTATTATTATTATAAATGAAAATAAAATATGAAATAATAATAATAATAAAAATTATATATAAAATAAAATAAAACAATATGTATAAAAACATATAAAATAAATTAAATAAAATACTCCAAATACTCACAACATGCAACTAAAACTGTTCCTGCTGAAAATACAAACATCCCACCAAAAGACATTTGATTCTATCTCTTCATCATGAATTTTGGTACAGGCAACATGTTGTATACTCTTCCTCGGGTGAGGGGGATTGTTCTCATCTGGGTGGTGATTGCTAGTTGCTTTAGTTTAATCTTCTTCTCTTGGTTGATGTCGCAAAATGTTCTTTGGGTTCAGAGATGAAAAGCATCAACAAAGGGAACTTTTAACTTAACTATTATTTTATTAAATATGTCAATGAGTACATCTTCTATCAAGTAGGGGTTACTACACCCACTATTTGGGAGCCGCTTCCAAACATGAAAATCTCATACATCCATTTTCTTTGACCTGTAACAACCAACTCCCAAAAGACCCTTCCTCACTGGGGGTGGGGAGAGGAGGTTTGCATAAACACAATCTACAATGTCTAGTTAGCTTGACATCCAAACACCAACTTTCGTAAAACCTTAATCTATGATTTATTCCCATGTTCGGCTCAGCCAGTCAAAATTGACTTCTCTATTTTGTCTACCATCTGACCTTAAAGGTCAACCTCAGAAGTTCTCAGCCAAAATACACTACGACTAAAAAATAATAGTCTAAAACTATTATTTAACATTCCTTACCTAACCATCAAAAAAAAGTTCATTTATGAATTTTATTTCAACTACATTATATTTAATATATCTGACTACTCTCTGTGGTATGGCTTGTAATAACCCAAAGTAAATTTTCCATTGTACCATAAAACAATTATAACCTAAAAAATACACACAAAAAATATAAATAAATTGTATCAAATTAACATACAATTTACGATGCTTTTCCTGTTATTTGTGTATGTTTTATTTCCTGTCAAGTATGCTTTTATCTCCATGAACACAAGGCTAATTTCTGCTGCTATGAGGTTAGTGAACCCCCATAGGGCTGCCAGACCAGATAAAGTAGCCCCTTCATGTGCCATCCAGGATAGATATACTGGCTACTGACCAGATGCTGGCTCAACCCTAGGCAAACATGAATGATGAAGTGATGGAAGTGGGTTCAGCAGTAGCAGTGTTGTGGACACAAAGCAAAAGAAATTAATTCCACACTGTGGCTTCCTACAGTAGCAATAACACCACATGCTATAAATGTAACAGCCTGAATGACATGGCAAGAGGTTGCCTTAGCCATCAGAGAGGAGACAAGGAATGAGAACAGGAACTGCACAATTTTGCTTTATTTTCCATGCTAGGATGTAGGCTATATAAATTGAAACTGCCTGGGAAACATGTCAAGGAAAAAGATGTCCACAGTGTGGGGACCAGTATGTTGTAGTTATGTCCACAGATAGTATGGTGATAACATGGCATTGCTGGGCAGAGGCCAATAAAAAAGGTAGAACATCAACAGCCACTTGTTAAAAACTGGTGGTCTTTCAAGTTGGAGGATATCATCTGTGGTTTAACATGAATGAATACCTTTAAGATATGTGGAGGAAACTGATCTGGTATTTCATTATGCAGCAATCCCAGACAACACTCAGCCGTGGGTCTGATAATCAGGACCTGATGATCAGAGCCAGTGCAAGGGTCTTTTGCACCCCGCCCCACAAATCTATGATACAGCCCTACCCCACTCTACTGCATCTCAATTTTGATAAGGTAGTATTCATATAAAATACAAATTTTATCGTAGCCTGATTATGTACAATAATGGATCATATGCAATACAGGTAAACAGCTCAACTACAGAAATTGAAAATAAATACAATGTATATAAATACAAATTAGAGACATGTTGTATCATAATAGACATCATTAAATCTTAAATAAATCAACTAGAATGATTTTAATACATTCAACATTATGGATGAAAAATAACAAATTTTATACAGTGTTTTTTCAAGGCTTTACATGAGCAAAACAAATTCATGGATTTGGATGAAAAAAAGAACCCAAAATTACATCAAAATAGTGAAAATTTTTCATTCTTTAATAGTCATTTGTTAAACTATTTGTAATGTATATAAATAGGTAGAAAAAAGCAAATTTTGCTGAGATAGTGAGAGTCACAAAGTACTGCCATCAACCCTCCCCACCTTGGTTTTTAGGTTGTACATGCTGGTCCTACTGCTGTTGATGATGATTATGATGATGATTAGGATATAACAGTATAGGAAAGTTCCAGGACTAGGATCTCCTGGTAAACTCCATAACTGATCCTGATCGTGTAAGGGAATTGAAGGATTGTTTGGTGGTGGGCCTCATAGACAAATTCACAATTCTTTTTTTATATTTTCTGATGTTTATCTGACTAAAAAAAAAGGAGTTGACTGTATATAAGATAGTAAATGGTACTAACTCTTTCTACATTAAGCCCGTTGAATTTAATAGCATCATTGAGTTGCTTCTCTTCTTCAAGTGTATTCGTCTTTGTCGTTGACTTTGTGGAATTTAACTGCACCCAAGGAAAATCTTTATACATAGTCAGAATAATCAAGTCAATGCAAACAGTCCTTACATTATGTGCATAGTATGTGCTTTGACAGGGTTACATAGAGTTTTAAATTCAGAGTTGTCGTTCTGCTAGACTGGTTGCCACCCAAGGCTATAGAACCTAGTCTGTCCTGCTATTTATCCATAGCTGGGCTGGAGAAGAAGAGATGGATTCATGCCTTTGTCAAGGGTATTAGTTCTGGAATGGAATTTGCCCAGCTCCATGAGAGCACCTTGTTGCACCTTCTTGGTCTCACACTGACTGCTGATATGAGGTGGAACAAATACATAGACTCAATAGCTTCATCTACTGCAAGGAAAATTGGTTCTCTGCGTCGTGCCAGAAAGTTTTTCTCATCTGAGTCCATCCTTCAAATCTATAAATCAGCAATCCATCCTTGCATGGAATATTGCTGTCATATATGGTCTGGTGCCCCCACTCTATGTCTCGAGGTCCTCAATAAAATCTAGAGATGGATATGCAATGTAATAGCTCCTGATCTGGCATCTAGTCTACAGTCGCTTTCTCACAGATGTGCCATCGCTCCCCTCTGTCTCTTCTATAAGTATTTTCACAGCAACTGTTCCGATGAGTTGCTTTCACTGGTTCCCAGACTGCATGAATTTAAGCAAGCTACTAGGTTGGCATCTCGGTCCCACCCTTTCAATGTCAAAACAATTAAATGTAACCATCTCTCCTACTTAAACAGCTTCTTCTCTCCAACTTCCCATCTGTGGAGTTCTCTTTATGTTACTTGCTTCCCTGATAACTATAATCTTCAAATATTCAAGTGTAATGTCAATTGACATCTAATATCTTGATCTTGTTTCACCGTCTTTCTCTGTATCCTCTCCCCAAACATGCCTCTTTACTCTTGCTCTCTACCCTCTGTAACCCCTTGTGTGCTAGTGGCACTCCTGCCTTGTTTGGAGTGAAATGCTTAAAAAAAAAAGAAAAAGAAAAAAAAAAGAAAGCCTGCTATTAATACTGGAAAGAGCAATAACAGCTACTGTACTTGAGAAATCTGTTTTTCTGAAAAATTGTTTTAAGAGAAAGATTTTAAAAATTTCAACTGAAAGTAGGTAGTACTGGCTGCTTGGTCAATGGATGTTGAATGTTTCCTTATAAGGCAATCACTAATATTACCATTACTTTAGTTTAAATTTAAATACCTTTACGGTATATGAAGTGTTGTATTGTGTTGTTCTATGACATGATTAGTAGTCAATTTCCCCTCTTGCCTGGTTGCCTTCTTTCAGATGTTTTAGCCCTAACCTGGGCTACAAAACATCGGATCCAAGTCTAAAAAATCTCTGGTTCATTCAAGCAACTTAAACATCTTATCGGTGATGTTATATTGTTGTACTGTGTTGTTCTACATGATTGGTAGTCAACTTCCTCCAGTCTGTTAGTTAACTATACACTTTATTTGTTTTCTGCTTAACATATGCAAATAAGTAAAATCCTATTTAGCAATACACTACCTATTGCTTACATGTTCATTCCATCGTATTCTCATCATCCTTCTGTAGAAGCACATATCTGTTACTTCAACTCTTTTCTTTTCTTTGTAAGAAAACTGTCCAGCTGTAATTGTCACATAGTAGTTCAGCACTGTTTTCTTCTATATAATAAATGCAAATGTCAGTGTGTCACACTATTTCAACTTTACACCTAGAGGCTGTAGCCCAACATATACTATTTTGGAATTTGTATAATAATGATGATGATGAGAGCATCCTAAATAGCACATAAATTACATCAAACTTAGTCTAAAAATAATGAAAAATGAGAAAAACAGTAGTCAGTTGCTGAAACCTCCTGACGAGTGGGCTAAACAATTACAAAAGTTCAGCTACAAAATTCTAGAGTTGAGATGCTGAATATAGCATCAATTGACAAAGTGACAAATTTTAATTGTGTTAATCATCTACCTATCCGCATATATATATATATATATATATATATATATATATATATATATATATATATAGCCCATCATATCATACAACTTTGGAATCAGGCAGACTCTGTAAGCAAATTAAAAACATTCCAGGCCAGATCTGGACCCACAATCCTGAAATTTGAGATTCACAATTTTTCATTACTGCAATTGTTTTCCATGATTTTTTTTTTACGTGAATTTTTGTGACAAACTTTTTTGTACAACAACAATTTTTATAACTTGGAAATAAAGTTGGGAGTAATCAAAATTAATTGTGAAAGTCATCCATGAAATAGAAATAGTTGTTTGGAAACTAAGGAATTACATACATCAAACTGTCTTTAAATTAAGTGTCAGCAGAAGAATTATCGTTGAACTTTTAAAAGGTAAGCTTAGATATTAATGCAATACTTAAATGCATCAATCAGTTTTTAGTTCTTCTGTAGTTTATTATTGCCTATTGCATCTACTCTTCCCTACCTATTGTGTGACGGACCAATTAAGAGCCCTCAAATAATTATCTTAATTATGATAGCAAAACTAATGCTGAAGGATGTGCACTTACATTTTACAGATTACGCAAGAGCATTTCACAAGGTACAGCTCAAGGTATGGCACAAGGATCTATTTGAACTGCTAGGAAAAATTTATTTGGAAAAGATATCAGAATAATCCAGAAATTATACTGGGAGCAAACAGCCCGTATTCGGAGAGAAAATAAACTGAGTAGCTATACAAAAATAGAAACAGGTGTGAGACAAGGATGCGGCTTCTCCTCAGATTTATTCAGCCTCTACAGTGAGGCAATCCTAAGGGAGCTGGAAACCCTACCAGGATTTATTATTGGTGTGCGTATTCTCAACAATATAAAATATGCAGATGACACTATGTTGATGGCTGATTTAGAAAGAAAACTACAGGACCTCGCTGTATATAGTCAGCTATTAACCCATTAATACCCACTGTCCCCAAAATACTATTAACCCTTTAATGTTCACTGTCTCCAAAATGCATTAGCTCATTAATGACCACTGTCCCTAAAATGTTATTAACCTGTTAATGACCAAAATGACATAGTGAGAATTAATGGGTGTAGAAAAATGAAATAAAACCAGTAAATAAAATAATAAAGAACAAAAAAAAAAAAGAAATTAATTTTCCTATAATGCAAGTTACAAAGAAACCAGAAAGGGTTTTTGGTCACATGCACAATTTTGTGAGCCCACTTCTCGAAAGGACAGACTCTTTCTCTTTTCCACATTCCAACGACATTGTTCGGACATGATTTGGCAGCCTTACTCATGAAGTGAATTAGTCATTCCAATACAGCACAAATCTGACTTAAGCTTGACCATTTTAACCATTATTATTCTAACTTCTGAACCAAAAAGTAAAACGGACATTCTCAAGAGATATTGAGTAGTTTGTTTCGCTACAGTCACCATAAAAGGAATAAACATCCATAGCAGAAACTCAACTCTTACATATTTATAAGTCTACCATTCATCCTTGCTTTGAATATTGCAACCACATCTGGTCTGCTGCTTCTGCCATATATTTATATATTCTAGATAAAATCCAAAAAAGAATCTGCAATGTTATCGGTCCTGACCTGCCATCTCAGCTTCAGTCGCTTTCCCACTGCTGTAATGTAGCTTTCCTGTGACTTTTTTTATAAATATTTTCAGGTTAATCGTTCTGATGACCTTTCCTCTTTGGTAAATGAAACCCCAATGAATATTTACAATTGTAATTATTGTAAATATTCATTGGGGTTTCATTTTTAAAAGTTGTTATTCTTATTCCCAACCCACCAAACAGACAAATTATACATATGTGAACTAATTAGAACTTCATAGAGACTTTGAGGTATTATGGTGACTGTAGTGAGAATGGTAAGTAAGAATGTGTTCTTTTGATGTAAGGAATACTGTGGTATGTTTGCATCAATAATTGTGGCTAAGTTTAAGATAAGACACACTGATGATCAGCCTTCCCCCATACCCACTTTTGGCCTTGTACCACATTTTTATATTCACAAAATAAATATTGCTTTCCTCTTCAGTCATTTTCCCACCACCATAATGAAGCTACTCTGTGCCTTTTCTATAAATATTTTCATAGTAATTGTTCTGACAAACTTACCTCTTTGGTACCTAGACTTTATAAATTTAAATGCAGTACTTGATTTGTGGTAAGGTCTCATTATTTTACAGTTGAAATGACTAGATGTAACTGTAAGTTCTATGCCAACAGTTTCTTTTCTCTCACTTCTCACTTGTGGAACTCTCTTCCAGCTTCTTGCTTTCCAGTCAACTTTAATCTTCAAAATTTAAATGCAATGTCAATCGTTATCTTCTCTTTTCTTAATTCTTATTCTTTTATTGTTCTCTCTGCTTCAAAATGTTTTCTTTTTCTCACTCTCAATAACATCTTGTGCCTTAGTGACTTTATTGCCTTGCTTGCAGTAAAATGATTAGAAGAATAATCTATTATCCTGCTAGAAACATTTTTATTTTAGTTTTTATTTTAAATACATTGGGGGCAGTGCTGGTATTTATTGTATGGAAGGAGATCTGTGGACAAATCAGATTATATAGAAATTTTAGAATCTAATGTTATTGAGACAAAAAATAGATTATAAAGTTTTTTTAATTTATTTTGGAAATTAATGTCAGTCACGATTTTAAACAAATAATACAGCTTAGCTCAACAAGTAATTGAGGCCAAAAGGACAAATTTAATCTTCTTTTTAGTTCTGTTTTAGTAAAACCTGTAGGAGTGGTCCAGTCTCTACCCGAACCATCCCTATAGCACCATTGATGATTAATACCGGGTGTTTTATAAACTTATGATTAATACTGGATTCTCTTAAAAACAGCGGGCCAAGAGGTGTGAGTGCCAATCGACCGTACAACTAAAATAGGGGACACAAAGGCAAGGAGATGGCAGTAGCAAAGAAGGATGACAAACGCAGATGGTCCGTTGTAGACGATGGAAATCGTGTCTTTATTTGCGAACGGTGGATGGTAAGACGACAGAGGTCGTTTGTTCGGGAACGGTGTCCGGACGTTAACGGGCGCTGGACGTCAGTGGGCACTGGATTAGATCGTCAGCAGGTGCTGGAATAGGTAGCGGGACGTCAGTAGAGCGCCGCAGCGGTGAGCTGGAGGCCGCTGGAAGCTGTTGGGGTGAGCTGGAGACTGCAGGAGTGCTGGAAGCTGCAGGAGTGAGCTGGAAACTGCAAGAGTGCTGGAAACTGCAGGAGTGCTGGAAGCTGCAGGAGTGAGGTTTCAAGACGGATCTGTTGGTGGGTGGTATTACGCTGATGGCTGCGCCAGTGTCAACTAGGAATTTGAGGTCATTGTTACGGCCCAATACGTAGAAGAGACGACTGTGTGAGCGAGTACCGACAGGGATTGTCGTCGCTGCCTGTCGGTCTATTCGTTTCCCTGGGCCTTATTGCGTCTGCAGGGAGGGTGACACTTGCGGGCTCGGTCACCGAAGGTTTGGTGGTACCAACATTCGTCCACACTGTTTCTCCGTCCTGGACTTGAGCTGCGGGTACGGCTTCGATTTCGCGTGCGTGGTGCTGGGCTTCGCTGCCTCCGGCATAGGGAGAGTTTCAGGTCTCTCAACTCTGCGCATAGCTGGGTCATCTCCTCTTCGAGGCGTTGTGTGTGGTTTCCGTGGCTCTCAACCCGGTGAACTTTTTGGTGAGCCCGGGAGTATATTTTGTCGGCTGGGTCGGCCACAACGTCAAGGGGCGTCTCTACTGGTACCAGGGCTAGAACTTGTGTTATATTCGGTGGTAACCGATCCATCCATAGCCCTCGGAGGATGGGTTCTGCCATGGTGTTGTTCCCGAGGCGGCTCTTCATCAGGCGGAGGAGCTGGGATGGTGTCCTATCGCCGAGAGACACATTAGAGAATAAGTCTCTGATGAGGTCTTCGTCCGAACGTCCAGTTCGTTTGAGAATGGCTTCTTTGAGGCAGGTGTATGGGAGTTGGTCCGGAGTATTGAGAAGGATGTCTTCCACTTCTTCAACGATTGATGCTGGTAAGGCTTGTACCACGGAGGCGTATTTAGTGTCCTGTCGTGCTGAAAATATCGCCTCAAGTTGAATAAACCAACTCCTGGTGTTGATCGAGTTGTATGGCGGTAGTTGGATCAGGGCGGCTGATGTGTTGATTTCCGGTTTGGTGTGTTCCGCCATCTTCTCTGCTAGCCGTTTGCCTGTGTCCATATCACGTCGGGGTCACCACTTGTTTCAGCGAGCCGAGAGGTGTGAGTGCCAATCGACCGTACAACTAAAATAGGGGACACAAAGGCAAGCAGATGGCAATAGCAAAGAAGGATGACAAACGCAGATGGTCCGTTGTAGACGATGGAAATCGTGTCTTTATTTGCGAACGGTGGATGGTAAGACGACAGAGGTCGTTTGTTCGGGAACGTTAACGGGCGCTGGACGTCAGTGGGCACTGGATTAGATCGTCAGCGGGTGCTGGAATAGGTAGCCCAGGACGTCAGTAGAGCGCCGCAGAGGGTGAGCTGGAGGCCGCTGGAAGCTGTTGGGGTGAGTTGGAGACTGCAGGAGTGCTGGAAGCTGCAGGAGTAAGCTGGAAACTGCAAGAGTGCTGGAAACTGCACTTACCATGAATCCATCATAAAAATTCAAGAAGTGGAATTAATAAATACAAAACAAAGAATTGTTAGCTGTAGTTTTGTCCAACATTGCAAGATGCTACAAAATCAAAACATTAACTGAACAACTCAAGTCATGCTATTTACACTATTTACATTGTTCAGACTGTTGTCCTCATCTTATTGCTACATTCACAATGTTTCGGCTTTTGTATGCACTGGCCTTCTTCAGGTGATAATTGTTGGAATTTTGAACCTAACCCTTTATTTAGTCCACATACCATATTAGTTAATTCACCTTGATAAGGTTTTGTTCTCTTTGCTGTGGCCAGAGACTGAACTCAAAACTCTTTTGGGTCAAGTGGATAAAAAGCATTAGTGGATTGACCCAAAAAGTGACTTCATCCAAAGAATTATGAGTTCAATACCTGGCCACAGCTATTTGATAGCTATTCGTTATTGAGAAGTACTTTTCTCTGAGAAGTGGTTTTCTTTCTAAAATTAAGTAAAACGATGCACTTGAAACTTTTTCTTAATTTCCGCAGTAACAAGTGTTTAAATTTTTGTATTTCCTGTTTGTTGATGTCCTTTTTTTCTTTAATTTAATACTGAAATTAAGCATTTATATCTTAGTTTTGCTCATAAATTATCCCACATGTTCAAACATGTTGAACATTTAGCTTTGAATATATGTCGTGTAGATCATTTAAAAAATTGTTATCATGCTAAGAGAGACATATAAATGTTTTCTTGTTTGTTAATCAAAGATTGATTGCCTTTAAAACATTTTTACATTTACTTTGATTTTTTTTAATTGTCCAAAGAACAAAAGCAGAAATAAAAACACACAAAATCCAGATAGGAAAATATTAAAGCTCCACTGAAGATGACAATCCCAAAACTGAAAACAAGGAATATATATATATATATATATATATATATATATATATATATATATATAAATGTACAAATGTATATATATATATATATATATATATATATATATATATATATATATATATATATATATATATATATATATATATATATATATATATATATATATATATATATATATATATATATATATATATATATATATATATATATATATATATATATATATATATATAATATATGCAAATAATGGTTAGTTGAGCTAGTCTTGCTAGATCAATTATGACTGAGTAGTGAGTTCAATCCTCACTGGGTGCCCCATGCTTTCGGCCTTGTGCCATATCTAAGCTACACTTGGAAAATCACTATATATATGCAAATGTAAAAGAATGAAAAGAACAAAATTCAAACATTCATATCATCAATTTAAAAAAGGCCACAATACAAGCACTAAATATTTATTATAAACTGTTACATTAGAACATGCAGGTTACTACTACAAAACTGCAAATTTTCTTTTGACATCAGGTAGTTAACAATGATGGCATTAAATGATTTTATTTAATTAATTTATTTATTAAATTTTCTAGTAAAGGCAAAAAAAAAAAAAAATAAAAATTAAGTTTGTAGAAGATTATGGTGTTTCCAGGAAGAAAAACAGAAACAGGAAAATCATATTGTATACACCTCCATTCAATCAACTAATTCCTACTAAATTGGGACATAAATATTTTAACTTATTTGATAAACATTTTCCTAAAAATAATTCTTTAAGTAAAATTTTCAATCAGAATACTCTAAAACTTAGCTATAGTTGTACTAATAATGTAGAGAAAATAATTAAATTGCATAACAATAAAACACTGAATTTATATAACAATAATAACTCTAATGCTAGTGCTGATCCTAATTTGTTTCATATAACTAACCTATGTAGTTGTAGAAATATCTTTTATGTAACAAGTGCATAACAAAATTCCTTGTGTATATGTGCCCTATATAGAATCTTCATTTTTTTAGCCTTATCTAGAGCAAGTCGTTGGCTATATTCGGTGGTGAAAGACCTAATCCTATCCTTAAGCCACTCCCACCACTCATTCCCAATAACCACCTCCACTAGTTTTCGTCGCACTAATCTAGTTAGTTGTTGCCTGAAGTCCCGCCTGTCCAGTAAAGACAGATTGAACTTCCAGTGTCCAGCCATTCTAGGCCTTGTACCTAACACCACCCGGGTACAGACAAGTTTATAGTGCCCCTATTTGGGCCAACCACTGCCAAGTGGTCCCATGCTCCTGTGATACAGATTAGTACAATAACTCCGGGGCTTGAGGAAAGTTCCTAGGGTCCTCTGTCGACTTCCCATCAACAGAGGTACACTTAAAAAGGGGTCTCTGTGCAGGCAGGTCGCTCTCAAGGGTCTGCCTGTCTATAACACAAATCTTCTCCCCCAACCCCGGGGAATGTTTTTTCTTTTTTGGAGATGGTTTGGGGGAGGGAGAAAGAGGAGTCGGAGCTGTAGACGGGGAAGAGGAGAGACTCCTTGCCTTACATTAGAGATCTAGATCATTGGTTTTTGCTGGCGAAGTAGAGGCAGATTGCGTCTTGTTTTTTTCTTTTTTTTATCACGGATTTCTCCACTTTGCTTCGACCCAACTTTTCCTTTTTTGTAAATTTCTCCTCCTCTTCATCTCTCACCCTCTTCAATGAGGAGGAACGCGGCGACGGTATCTCTTCTGTCTCTATGTAGAGGTCCAGCTGCAGCAACTCGGTCTGCTGCTGCTGTTGCCATCGATCCTGCTGAGCAGCTCCTGCTGAGCAGCTCCTGCTGAGCAGCTCCTGCTGCTTTTACTAGTATTTGAGCTGTTGATTCAGTCGCTGCTGCTGTTGTTGCTGAGTTATACCCTCCTCCAACTGCTTTTGTGATTGTTCCTTTTTTTGTTGCAGGACATCCTTCTGGGGTGAGAGAGGTGAGGCAGCAACCTTCGACTCCTTTTTCAATACCTCCCTCCTTTCACCGGGACCGTCTGTGACCTCGCCGGGCTTATCTTCCGCCACTACCTCTTTGGATGTAGCATTGGTTTTCGGCCGGGACACATTTTTCCAAGTAACCGGCGGAGCCACACGCAATCAACAGTGCGGTCTTCTTCCCTCCACTACCACAAAAATCTTTTTGCCTCTGCACATCAGAGTGTCGGGAATTTTCTGAAACTTCGTCCTGTCCAGAGGCCACACCAGCCTTATTCAATAAACGAGCGACTTCCTCTACCTGCCCATCAGTCAGTTATGCGCCATACGTGATACACGCTTAGGCGATCATGTATCTTTCGATACATGACTGACGAGGCAGATTTTTCCTGCAGTAGGTTGTCATTTCTTTCTTTCTAGACCAGTTGCCATCCAAGGCTATAGAACACGGTCTGTCCTGCTATTTACCCATAGCTGGCGTGGGGAGAAGAGGATTCATACCTTTCCTAACGGTATTAGCACGTAAGTGAATGCAATGGATTCGATGGAATACTTGCCCATACAAAACAAAAAAGGCCCCACATGATCTTCTTTAATATCCATGGGCACCCTGTTTGGTAATTCCGACGGATGCCCATGTATTCGGTTTGTAACCGTAGCGTCTTTGTCATCAGAATGTTGCCTGTTAACTATTTTGCTTCCTCCTCCAATGCCAGCAGTATGTCCCACATCGCATTTGAGCGTTTTGCTAAATTTTTTCGGGACTGTCTTAAGACATTTCAGTGCCTCCTCAACGGCCTCCCTGCTGACGCCGACCAATTTACCGGTTTTGACATCCGACGTTAGATAGTCCTTGTTGTCACCGCATTTAACGCTTCCGGGATAGTGAGTAACTCATTTCCCTTGTTAAACTCGCGGTACTCCTCCTTCATTCAGTCATAATGGGCTGCATCATTTTATGGCCTATTTGAATTCCAAAATGGACTTGGAGACAGCGTTTCCCTCTTAGATACCAATTGACTGGGGAGACTCGGCCATTGTGGTCGTATCGTCACTGCAGCACACCAACACGAAAAAAAGTTCCAAAACACGGTACAACAGTTACTACAAAATATTACAATACAGGACATAGATTGGACTTACGGTGACAAAGAGAAAAAAAAATAACGGTCTGAAGACTGACTCCAAACGGTTTCTCCCAAGTTCTTCGGAAGACCCAGAGTACGAAATGTGGGACACTGATAATAAAAGAACTAGATCAAAGTCCCTCATGACTAGAAATACTCATGAAACCAGTGAGAAGGGGAGGGAATATAGGAGAAGCTCTAGATCTACGCAGGACGTGAAACCCAAAAGATTTAGGGAGATATAATAGGATTGGTTTAGCTAACAGGTAATTAGAATAGAGAGCTATAACTATAGCTCACGGGCGACTTTAAGTCAGGGTACGTAAAGTATCTACGGCTACTAAGTTTGATCATCATAACAATTTTACTTGTTACTATTAATGTCCTATCTCTTGACATCGAGCACTCCAATTAAAATGAATGCTTACCTTAAAACCATTATCTTCTAGAATTACACTGGTTGAGCAATTTGGGCGAAATACAATCTTTGGTATAGATATTTGGAGGAAAGATGTATGATCAAGTGGAAAAGTTTTCGGGTGACGCGTTTCGTCCCTGGGGACTTCATCGGACTAGGTTCGTTTACGTTGATGCGACTACACATGTTCACGAA